TTTTTAAAAAAGACAAAAATACTATATGTTCATAAAAAAATCATCCTACCAACATAAACAAGAAATGAGCATGATATTTAGACAGCAAATGGGTTTAATAGTACCCCTCCAACTGCACAAGGGTGTTTTTGTGAGCCAAAACTGGTTTAAGAATTTCATAAAATTCCCCAACGAAGCCACCCTTGTTACTTGATATGGGTGTGATCCATCCGATTTCCCCGGTAGCAATAACCACGTAAAAGACCTCACAAGCCCGGCATTTGGACTTTGCTACAAACACCAACACCTCCATCTGCTGCAACCAACCGACCGGAGAGATATAAACCAAATCTTTATCCCCGCAACCGCAAACCTCTCGAATTTCCCTCATCCTTCGACTTCCCAACACAATCTGACGTTCCAACTCCCTCCAATAATAAGAATCCCCGCGCACCATCTCCCAAACTCGAAACACGCCATCCTCAACTTGAACCACTACAGTGAGGGCTTTCCCAGTTGACAGGTAGCAATTCTTGTATTTGTGGTGGTTATACACGGGGACCGGGGCCCACGTCTCGGTCATAACCTCAGTCTCCACATTCAGCGTCGTGATAGTGTCCCCAAAAATCGAATGAATAAAACCCTCCGTGACCACAAGGAGGCTGAGGCTAGACTCCGTCAAATGGTCGGTTGCAAGATGCCTCCATGACTTGTCGACACCCACGGTCAATATGGCCCGCCTCGCGTCCCATCTCTTTATCCCAACCGTGTATGCCAGGGCCACCTTGTACGCGTTTGAGGCCTCCGCGTACCCCACGCAGCATTTCATTGACATTGCATTTTCCGGGAGCGGAGGGAGTTGGAAGGCTCGTCCCATCACAGGGTTGGCCAAGTGGACACCGGACAAGGTATCGTAATATATGTAATCAGGGATGAGGCCGTTGCAGCTAGTCTCTAACATAAGATTGGGTTTGTAAGGATAGTAGTAGTCGGATACCATGACACGACCCTGTTTCATAGACACGAAAACAATGCGTCGGGAGTAATGTCGATAATTATCAATAAGCTCACGTGTCGGGGCATAAATGAATCGGAAGAAGAGGCCGTATTCGTCAGTTTGCCAGAGGTGGAGGTTTACAAATTCCTCGGATCGGATCGTGTGGTAGTAGAGGCTCCGGCAGACGAGACTTGCTCTGTAAATGTCTTGAGCAGAGAGGTTCAACAGGATCTTCCAGAGCAGATCATCAGGAAGGGAAAGGAGATTGATTTGGGAATAAACGGCGGCTTGCTTTTCGCCGTCTGCAATGCCCTCTGCTTCAACATCGCCAGACGAAGGTGGAGACGACGACTGCCGGCGGAAGATTGACTATGGAAATTTGGCCATTACTATTTCGAATTGTCTCTTTCGTTGTAAAAATATTCTTGCCGAATATTCAGATGTTCAACTTTTATTACAAATGTGTTTCCTAATGCACTAACAAATAGGAGTACCAAATTTGCTCTACACGGCTTTCACTTTTTTCTTGCAGATAAATATGTTCTACGTTTGGTTCTTGCCAATTAAATTTATACCATAAATTACTTTATTATTCTTTATATATATATATATATACAGAATTGGTATACGTTGCAAAATTGATATATATGTATATATATGTTAACGTTAACTATATTAACTTTGATCAGTTTGGCAATTAGATTTATAAATAATATTTAAATATTTCCAATTCAAGCAACATTTATCAATGCACCTCTGGAGGTGATTGACCCGACGGGCGTCATGATTTGTAAAAGTGACCGCGTTAGGCAGATCGACACCCTCTGTGCCCGGAATAACCGATTGTGCACTGGTCAAGATTCTAGGCTTGTCGAGCAAGCGCGTTGTTGCCTTCGCGATTGAACCGACTCTGACTTGATGGTGTTAATCGCGATTGGACCGACTCTGACCTGATGGTGTTAATCAGGTGACTCGCTTGTCAATCATATGAGGTTGGATGAGAATGGGATTGAGATTCACGACACTTGTCAATCATATGAGGTTGGATGAGAATGGGATTGAGATTCACGATGCCCATCGTGGTTCAAGTCAGCATCGAGGCAAAGTTGCTTCATCATGGTGGCATTAGCATTTGCTGGACGAGATCAATAGCCTTGACGACCTATCCTCGTCGGATTAGGGGTGCTTGCAGTGCAAATTAACAGCACCCTCAGCTGTATGCTTTTATTACCGTCAGATTAAAAAAAATAAAGTAATATTTGGGTGTGTATTATGATCCAATGGTATTAAAACACACAGTACCCTCGTGCTGTTAAGTTTGCACCGTAGGCACCCCCTATCCTCGTCTTGGTGAAGAGGTTTGAAACGAGCAACTCTCTAGATATGTCCTTTTGGTTACGACATGGACATCTTCATCAAAAAAATTATTCCACAACTCTGTCCACCCTTTTGGGACAAGTTATTATTATTATTATTATTATTATTATTATTATTATTATTATTATTATTATTATTATGCAATTTAGTTTGTTTTGATAAAATTATTAAGTATTCTATATTGTTATTTGTAATTTTTTTTATAATTATTCCATTTTATCGGATAACCGATAACCGGATCGATAAACCGAAAGAACCGTAGTTTTCGGTTTTAATGTTGGACAGACCGATATTTCGGTTAACCGACGGACGGTTCGGTTTCAACCGAATGTGCAGCCCTAAAAATCATGCATCTGACCTACCAAGGCAATCTACATTCCCTCCAATTTCCTCCTGTTAATCACCACACAATATAGCCTAACTGCATTGTCTAATTGTGTTAGACAAATAAGTCTACAAATTACAAGTCGCTAAGTAAATAGTTAATAGTTAATCAAACTGGTAGCCGTTTTCCAGACATGTAAACCAACTAATCAAACACCATTGTATGTGTGGAGAGAATATATAAAGCAAAAGACACATCACCTTAACTTTTTTTATTTTTTAAAAAGAAAAACCATGTTTAAAGAAATCCCATCTTACCAACATAAACAAGAAATGAGCATGATAGTAAATGGGTTTAATAGTACCCCTCCAACTGCACAAGGGTGTTTTTGTGAGGAAAAACTGGACCAAAAATTCTATAAAATTCCCCAACCAACCCTTTTGATATGGGGGTGATCCATCCTGTTTCCCCGGTAGCAATAACCACGTAGAAAACATCGGAACACCTGACGACACACTAAACACCAACACCTCCATCTGCTGCAACCAACCGACCGGCTGAATATGAAACAAATCATGAAATTCACTCCCCAACAAAATCTGACTTTCCCATTCCCTCCAATAATTACTATAATCCCCAGACACCAACTCCCAAACTCGAAACACGCCATCCCCAACTTTAGCCACTACAGTGAGGGCTTTCCCAGTTGATAGGTACCACTTCATGTACTTGGGAGGATACACAGGGAATCCTGGGGCCCGCGTCTCGGTCATAACCTCCGTCACCACATTCAGCGTCAGGACAATGTCCCCATAAATCAAATGGATAAAACCCTCAGTGCGAGAAGTTGGCCGAGGGTAGACCCAGCCCAATGGTCGGTTGCAAGATGCCTCCACGACCTGTCGAGGCCCACGGTCAACATGGCCCACCGTATGCGAGCGTTCCTTCCCCCCTCACTATATACCACGGCCACCTTGTAAGCCTTTGAGGCCTCCACGTACCCCACGCAAGAACGCATAAAGTTTGCGTTTTCGGGGAGAGGAGGGAGTCGGAAGGCTCGTCCCGTGACGGGGTTGGCCACGAGGACGCCAGACGAGGGTACTTGACAATTGTACTCCGCGATGAGGCCTACCACTGTTGAATAGGGATTTGTAAGCGTAGTAGTAATTGGATACTGTCACACGCCCCTGCTTCATAGACACGAAAACCTTGCGTTGGGAGGAATGTTTATCACTATTAATAAGCTCAACTCTTGGGGCATAAATGAATCGGAACAAGAGGCCATATTCCTCAGTTTGCCGAAGGTGGAGGTTTACGAATTCCTCGGATCGGATCATGTGGTAATATAGCCTCCGGCAGACACGACTCGCCGTGTAATAAATGTCTTGAGCAGAGAGGTTCAACAGGATCTTCAACAGCACATCATCGGGAAGGAAAAGGAGACTGTTTTGGGCATAAACGGCGGCTTGCTTTTCGCTGTCTGCAATGCCACCATCTTCAGAATCAGTCACCATAACACCCTGCTCGTAAGAATCGCTTCAGGTAAATGTTAAAGAACATACCAACATATTTGCAATAAACAAGAAAAGAAAAAAAAAAAAAAAATCTAATCACTCAATGATTGCTTCTGACTAAAAATAAATAACATATTTAGTAATTAGTACAAGGCAATGAATAAAAAACAAATATATTCCATAACAATGGAGCCTGGTCCTGAATATACAGCCCACAAAAGCAGAAGGATACGACCAATAATCATCTTCGAGGCTATCCTGATGTTCATCACCTCCATAGAAAAATCCAGAAAGATGCACACTGTGAGAGCCAATAATTGAAACCTTCCTCAAACTCAAGATTCAACGCACAAGTCTCGTGCTTTTCCGGCAACAATGAACACAAGTAAATGGGTTTCTTATCTCCCACCTTACACTGCAGAATAGTACTCTTCTTAGTGGAGGACCCTGCACCTAATTTCGCCTAAACATAAAATCATGCATCTATCAAATTACAGTCACAGCTTTAAACAGAACAATCATGCGTCTATCAAATTTTCATTTACCACCAAATGTAGGAAAAAATGGCTTCTACTTCAAAATGATACTTCCATAAATTCAAAGACCATTTTCTGTCACGAAAAAATGGAAAACGCGAAGAAATAGTGACATCCTCGAAAACAAACCTGGAACAAGTGAAGCCTTCCCTTCTCCTCGTCAGAATCAATAACATACGGTTTGCCTGGTTCCACTTCAATTCCTGAGCTTTTCAGAATGAGAAAATTAGAGTGTTAAAACATGAATCGGCGTAGTTCACGACAAATTCAGAACATTAAACTGAAGAAATCCTCGCGACAAGACAAGTTCACCCCAGAAAGCCATTGTTGTGGCGCAATTGCAGTGTTCTCTAAAACCCTAGGGGCCAGAGCAAACGCTGGTTCTAGGATTGAAAAACAAGATGGACCAAAATTTGCCCCTATGGTATGTGTATTGTATGTTTGGGTTTGTTATGATCGATGTTATGTGATAACGATTATAATGTTATTTTTTTTTTACCTCGTTGAGTAAGTTTTTTTTATTAAAATTATTTAATTATATTCTTATGGTATAAAACCAAATCCGCAAAATTCTGTAAACATTTTCTATAATAATTATTTCCATAATTTTTTTATCTAATTAATTGTCCAAATTAGCAAAGCTTACAAAGATTGTAGTAATATAGCATTCAATAGGGGTGAGCGTGGGTCGCTACGGTTCGAAGATTGATAAATCTCCAGAACCGTACCAAACTTCGGAAATCCCAAAATTTGATCTCCGGAACCGTACCAAAAATTTGGTACGGTTCGATTTGGAGATTTTTATTTTTTGGTTCGATACGGTATTCGAGACTATTGGGACGGCTCGGTTCGGTATGGTTTGGTTCGAATCTTCGGAAATTTTTATTCATCGTATTGAAGATTTTATTTTGAAATCAATTCTAGAAGTAACTCTAAATTTAGTTATTTAATTTTTATATGCTTTAATAAAACCAACATTCATCTGTACTTCCTCACATTAAAGATTTTATTTTGAAATCAACTTTATAAGTAACTCTAATTTTAGTTATAACTAAATTTGTGCAACTAATATTGAAAATTGAAAATTCAAATAAAATATAATATTTTTTTCTTAAAAAATATTTTTTAAACTTTCATATTATTTTAAATCATTATTTTATAATAGAAAAAATTCAATTGTAGATCAAGTATTACTAAGTATGAAATTAAGTGAAGGTTAATATTTATTACTATATTATAGAGAATCAAAGTTGACATAAAATATATTAATAACACATTTAATGTATAATTTGGTTCTTAATTTCGATTTTTCGATTCGGTACAGTATGGGATGGTTCGGTTTGGTTCTCGGTACGAATATTTGTGAAATCTCCAGAAACCTAACAATTATTTTTTCGTTTCGGAGAAAGTCAAACGGTCAACAGTTATTTTTCGGTTCGGAGTGATTTCGGTTCGATTTTTGGAACAGTTCGAAATTCTCCAAGTCTCATGCTCAGCCTTAGCATTCAATATAATGATTAATATGTAAGTTAAATGCTTATATTTATAGCGCTCGTTTTTATTTATGATAAACTTTAAAAAGTGATATGTTCATTATCCGACTTATGATTTTAAATTATTACATACATACACGTATAACATATAAAATTTTATTTGCATCTGTACATGCGTACATGGTGGAATATTAGTCATTCTTAATCACATGATTGATATATTGTTTAGAAAGGAATGACTATTCCAATAGAAATTGCCAAAAAAAAAAGAAAAAAGAAAAAAAAAACTATAGA